TTGGGGGGGTGCTCTTGTGGGCCTCTGGGGGGTTCCTGGGCGCCTCTTGGGACTGATAGCTTGAAATGTCTGTTCGGGTTCCCTTCTGGGCCCCCTCTTGGGGCCATCTTGGGCACGTCTTGGAGGCCTCTTGGCTTGTGTAAGGGCCATCTGAGCCATTTGGGACCTTTGTCGGAGGCTGTTTGGGCCGCCTTGGAGCGATCGTGGGGCCTCTTGGGCCGTCCAGGGCGGTCGGCAGCTCGAAAAGGCAGTACCGTCCAAATCGACCCAAAACCTATGCAAAATCTTTAATTTGTGTGTGTTTTGGGCCTCTCGAAGTCCTCTTGGAACCCTTACCAGGGTACTTGTCGCCCGGGGGCCCCCAGAGACAGCCACGCGCGCGCGAGCTAGAGACGCTTTTCGTCAGCGGCGTGGCGGCGAAATCCGCTCCCGCGTGAAGCTAGATAGGGGCATTCACTAGCGAATTGGCCGGCCAGCAAAGAGGGAAGGGGGACGGCCGAGGGGAAGGAGGGACGCTCAGGCGCCGAAAAGTTCGACGATGAGGAGCCGGGCGGGCAGCAGCAGCAGCCGGGCGCGCAGGGCCAGAGCGCGGTGGGCGGCCGTCGCGAGCTAGAAACATTGATTAAGCTCTTACTGAAGGTTTTGGCACGCCTCTGGCCCGTTGGGCCGTCGAACTTGACAGCGATCGTGCCCCCCCCCGGCACGCTCTCAAGAGACCCGCTTGTTCGCATTTGATGAGCATGCCGTTTATTTACGGGCGCAGCCCGTAATTTGACTTTCGCGAGGTAGACAGACTGAACTGAACCACCAGGCCGTTAGATGGCAGTTTTATTTCCGCGGGTGAGGATATGTCGGTAGCAGTTTTAAGCCAGCGGGTGAGGGTATTTCGGTGGCAGTTTTAAGCCCGCGTATGAGGATATGTCGGTGGCAGTTTTCTGTCAGCGGGTGAGGATATTTCGCTGGCAGTTTTAAGCCAGCGGGTGAGGATATTTCGGTGGCAGTTTTGAGCCAGCAGTTGAGGATATTTCGGTGTTTCAGCGGGTGAGGATATTTCGGTGGCAGTTTATTTCCGCGGGTGAGGATATTCCATTAGCAGTTTAAGCCAGCTGGTGAGGATATTTCGGTGGCAATTTTAAGCCAGCGGGTGAGGAAATTTCGGTGGCAGATTTATTTCCGCGGGTGAGGGTATTTTAACAGCAGTTTTAAGCCGGCAGATGAGCACATTTCGGTCGCAGTTTTATTCCCGCGGGTGAGGATATTTCGGTGGCAGTTCTAAGCCAGCGGGTGAGGATATTTCGGCGGCAGTTTTAAGCCAGCGGGTGAGAATATTTCGGTGGCAGTCTCAAGTCAGCGGGTGACGATATTTCGGTGGCAGTTTTATTTCCGCGGGTGAGAATATTTCGGTGGCAGTTCTAAGCCAGCGGGTGAGGATATTTCGGTGGCAATTTTATTTCCGCGGGTGAGGATATTTCGGTGGCAGTTTTAAGCCAGCGGGTGAGGATATTTCGGTGGTTGTTTCAAGCCAGCAGGTGAGGATATTTCGGTGGCAGTTTTATTTCCGCGGGTGAGGATATGCCAGAGGCAGTTTTAAGCCAGCGGGTGAGGATATTTCGGTGGCAGTTTCAAGCCAGCGGGTGAGGATATTTCGGTGGCAGTTTTATTATGCCAGCGGGTGAGGATATTTCGGTGGCAGTTTTAAGCCAGTTGGTGAGGATATTTCGGTGACAGTTTTAAGCCAGCGGGTGAGGATATTGCGGTGGCAGTTTTAAGCCAGCGGGTGACCATCACCCGCCCGATAACACCTCGATAACACCCGATAACACGTCGATAACATGTTTTCGAGATGTGTTCGAGATGTCATCGAGGTGCTATCGAGTGTGATCGAGCTCGATAACGCTCGAGAGCACCTCGATAACACTCGATGACACCTCGATAGCATGAGGTGTTATCGATGTGTTATCGAGTGTTATCGAGCGGTGGCAGTTTTAAGCCAGCAGGTGAGGATATTTCGGTGCCAGTTTTATTTCAGCGGGTGAGGATATTTCGGTGGCAGTTTCAAGCCAGCGGATGAGGACATTTCGCTGGCAGTTTAACCCAGCGGGTGAGGATTTTTCGGTGGCGGCTTTAAGAAAGCGGGTGAGGATATTTCGGTGGCAGTTTTATTTCCGCGGGTGAGGATAGTTCGGTGGCAGTCTTAAGCCAGCAGGTGAGGAAATTTCGGTCTCAGTTTTAAGCCAGTGGGTGAGGATATTTCGGTGGCAGTTTTAAGCCGGCGGTTGAGGATATTTCGGTGGCAGTTTTAAGCCAGCGGGTGAGGATATTTGGGTGGCAGTTTCACTTCCGGGGGTGAGGATACGTCGGTTGCAGTTTTAAGCCAGCGGGTGAGGGTATTCCTGTGGCTGCTTTGATCCAGCGGGTGAGGATATTTCGGTGGCAGTTTTAAGCCCGCGGGTGAGGATAATTCGGTGGTAGTTTTAAGCCAGCGAGTGAGGATATTTCGATGGCAGTTTTCAGCCCGCGGAGGAGGAGGAGAATGTGGAGGGAGGAACCGAGAATATCTGTGTTCGGCGCGGGCATCCAGCCGCCACGCGATGCGTCATTCGCTTGGTTGGCCCAGCCGACGGCTACGCATCCAGCGCGGTGCTGCGCCCGTATATATGCTCGCCCCTTTGCGTGGGGCTGGCGGGGGGCCAAGGGGCGAGCTGTCTGGTGATTTATGTATATATATATATAGACGCGCAGGAACGTGCGCGCATGCCTTTTCTGCACAATGGTGTTGCGAAGCCACTGGTATATTTTATACGTGTTCGGGACATTCTGTTTTCAAACCTCGATGAAACTCAGTTTTTTGGGATCCTGGGCAGGCGCGCGCGACGATGCGCTCGTGTGCACTTCGTTCCATATGTTGCAAGGGAGATTTGAAAACTGATGATTTCTGTTAAACGAGTGTGCGCGCATTGCGTAGTTTCCTCTCACCCAGAACTCAGGCAGTTGGGATGGCGGTGACCAGGAATGCACCATGGATCATGTACGTGGCGCTACAGGTTCAGGGCGTATCGACCGCGACTTCCATGCAGGTGAACGAGGGTATCCATCGCAACAACGACCCGTACAATGCCTCGCGTATGAGTGAGAGTATGAAGGAAGTGCATGACATGCAGTAAGTGATCGGGATGCTCGTGCAGCGTTCAACTAGTTCCCTGTTTTACTTACAGCCTTGGAGGAGTCAGCCATTGTTGCCCTTGCGGTTGGAACAGTTTGTGGACTACGGCGACACGTTCAGAGCAACTCACGACGATCAGAGTTTGTGGCCTTTGGAGAGACCAGGGGTGGGGGAGCACAAAGTTTATACCCGTGCTGTGGTGCGGTCGGAGTTGCACATCCATGGTGTGGCACCTCAATCCAGATCGTGGAATACGACCGTCAGCTGGACATTACCCGCGCCCGCGACATCTGGCAGCAAATCAATGCTCTACTATAACGTTGGGTGGGGAGGCGAGCGCTGTCTTTACGTCGATGCTGGCGCGACCCGGAGTGTGGCCACCGCGACGCCCAGCCCGACGCCAAACCCGACACCAAACCACGACGCCGAACGCGACGCCGAACCCGACGCAGTACCCGACGACGAACCCGACGCGCCACCCGACGCCAAACCCGACGTCCCACCCGACGCCGACCCCGACGCCGAACCCGACGCCCTACCCGACGCCCTACCCGACGCTGTTCCCGACCCCGTTCTTGACGCCCTACCCGACGCCCTACCCGACGCCCTCCTACCCGACGTCGTTCCCGACGCCCTACCCGACGCCGTTCCCGACGGCCTTAACATCCCCCGTGGAAGGCGTTTCAATGCAATGTTTCGCGTGGAGGCTGAGGCGCGTCAAGTTGGAGGGCACTGCGCAGACATGTATTTCCACGAGTTGGATATCACGGGTGCGTGGGTGGAGACGAAGGGATACGACGGTCCTTGTTTGAGAGCGTCTTCTTTTATGGGCCACAACGCGCGTTATGTCCCTTGCCCGCTTTCCCCCCCCCCACACTGCAACGCTCCCCCCAGTGCGTCCCCAGTGCGTCCCCAGCACTGCCGCGGTGCGTACGGCACACCAGTCTCGGGGAGGGGGTGCTGCGTCATGCCTTCCTTCCGCCCCCCCCCAAACTCCCCAACCATGACGCCTGCCATTGCCGCGGATTAAACATGCGTTTTTTTTCCGAGCTGATGGTGCGCACGACGAGATTGCACAGTGGCTAGAGTTTGGGGGCGTAGAGCTCAAAATCGAGCATGGGCGCACGGAGCAGGGCGGCCTGTACTTGAATTTCTACGTCAAGCACCTTGGGCGCGGTGGGTTTGCCGTCGGAGGGTTGTTAGGAGAGGATGACCACACCGAAGCATCGATGCCTTCGAAGGCATGCGTTCACCGCGTTGCCCTTCATCGTTATGCGGCTCCGAGTTGTAGAAGTGCAGGCGTCTACTCGACTGCAGAGGCAACCTTCTAACGATGGCATGCGGGCGGCGCGAGGGCAATGCGGACCGTGTGCGCAAACAATGTTTCTGGTTTGGCGATGCGGAAAAATAATGGGCATAATCAGAGGTAAGCTGCACATCCCCAGGGGTATCGATAATCCTGGCCTCGGAGAGGTGGTATATCCAAATTTTAGAAAGGGGAATACATGTGGTTCAAGCTACGTGGTGCAGTGACATGTTTTTTTTGCAGTGAGTTGTCAACTCCATTGCTCGCGCAATCATCCCACCCACCCGCCCGCAGCTTGGTTTGCAAAACCCCCGCTGGGGCGGTTGCAACGACTGCTTGGCGCTGGCTTGCGCATCGCTGCGGCAGCGCTGGCGCGCTCAAGCTCGCGCGCAGAGCGGCCAGCTACAGTGGAGCCCCATGCCAAGAAACACCCTGCTCGCCTCCAGGGTGCCCTGGGTTTCTTGGGTCTCGATGGTTTTGCTTTGGAAAGCGTGACGTTCCCACACCAAGAATCAATGGACGCCCTTCCGTAGCCGTTTTAGCTCAAGCCAATTCGCATCAAGTTCCTCTACGGTTTTTGGTCACGCCAATTCAGGCATCTCGCACTTGCTTGTATCAGTGCCGATGGTGCTTCGCCGCTGCTTGCTCTTGCTTGTCGTGGTCATGCCAGTACGGGCGACTACGTGCGGCGCAAAGAGTAGGTCCACTGTGGAGGCAGCCAGCGGGCGCATCGTTGGGGGGCAGAACGCAGCCAAGTGTGAGTGGAAGTGGCAGGTCTCCCTCTCTGACGGGGGGTTCCACTTCTGCGGGGGAACGCTCATCGCACCGAATTGGGTCCTGACGGCTGCTCACTGTATGGGGGGCTCGTTCGACGTCGTGGCGGGCAGCTGGAGACAGTACAGAACAGATTCGGAACAGGTGACGCTGGCGGTGAAACGCGTGATTCCACATCCGCTCTACAACGCTCAGGACGATTCGCACGATTTTGCCCTAGTGGAGTTGGAAGATGCCGCGCCATTGAATGATTGCATTGGGGTCGCATGCTTGCCAACTGAGGACGTCGCTGTCGGTGAGGAGTGCTTCATCACCGGGTGGGGTACACTCTCCTCGGGGGGGAACTCCCCTAACAAGCTGCAGGAGGCGCAGGTGACGATCTACAGCAATGCAGACTGCGATTCTGCATACAGCAATTTCGGTTGGACGATCACCGATGACATGTTGTGCGCGCAGGGCACGAACAACCAAGGGGAAAACACCGACGCCTGTCAAGGGGATAGCGGCGGGCCCCTCGTCTGCGATTCCGGCAGCGGTGTTTACGTCCTGCACGGAGCCACTTCGTGGGGCTACGGGTGTGCCGTTTCAGGGTACCCTGGAGTTTGGAGTCGGGTCAACTATGTGCGTGACTGGATCGACAACGAGATGTTGGGTGCGCCAACACCAGCGCCACTTGCCGTATGCAGCAACGGCGGCGGATGGGGGCGGCGGCGGCGGAGTTGCGGTCCCCTGTGCGGAGGTGGCGGGCGGCGGCGGTCGTCGTGCGTTCTCGGGCCAGTGGCAGCGCCAACACCGGCACCAGCGCCAACACCAGCGCCAACACCAGCGCCAACACCAGCGCCAACAGCGCCACTTGCCGTATGCAGCAACGGCGGCGGATGGGGGCGGCGGCGGCGGAGTTGCGGTCCCCTGTGCGGAGGTGGCGGGCGGCGGCGGTCGTCGTGCGTTCTCGGGCCAGTGGCAGCGCCAACACCGGCACCAGCGCCAACACCAGCGCCAACACCAGCGCCAACACCAGCGCCAACAGCGCCACTTGCCGTATGCAGCAACGGCGGCGGATGGGGGCGGCGGCGGCGGAGTTGCGGTCCCCTGTGCGGAGGTGGCGGGCGGCGGCGGTCGTCGTGCGTTCTCGGGCCAGTGGCAGCGCCAACACCGGCACCAGCGCCCCTCACGTGCGGCGCAAAGAGTAGGTCCACTGTGGAGGCAGCCAGCGGGCGCATCGTTGGGGGGCAGAACGCAGCCAAGTGTGAGTGGAAGTGGCAGGTCTCCCTCTCTGACGGGGGGTTCCACTTCTGCGGGGGAACGCTCATCGCACCGAATTGGGTCCTGACGGCTGCTCACTGTATGGGGGGCTCGTTCGACGTCGTGGCGGGCAGCTGGAGACAGTACAGAACAGATTCGGAACAGGTGACGCTGGCGGTGAAACGCGTGATTCCACATCCGCTCTACAACGCTCAGGACGATTCGCACGATTTTGCCCTAGTGGAGTTGGAAGATGCCGCGCCATTGAATGATTGCATTGGGGTCGCATGCTTGCCAACTGAGGACGTCGCTGTCGGTGAGGAGTGCTTCATCACTGGGTGGGGTACACTCTCCTCGGGGGGGAACTCCCCTAACAAGCTGCAGGAGGCGCAGGTGACGATCTACAGCAATGCAGACTGCGATTCTGCATACAGCAATTTCGGTTGGACGATCACCGATGACATGTTGTGCGCGCAGGGTACGAACAACCAAGGGGAAAACACCGACGCCTGTCAAGGGGATAGCGGCGGGCCCCTCGTCTGCGATTCCGGCAGCGGTGTTTACGTCCTGCACGGAGCCACTTCGTGGGGCTACGGGTGTGCCGTTTCAGGGTACCCTGGAGTTTGGAGTCGGGTCAACTATGTGCGTGACTGGATCGACAACGAGATGTTTGGTCGGCGTCTGGTTAATGGGAGCGACTCCCAGGCAGACGACCTCGACTGGAACGACGAGTTGGCAGTGGTGCCAGAGGTCAGGCAGGTCAGCAATGTGGGCACCGATCTCTTCTACGCGTAGCTTCGTGCATCCGCCCAGCACGCTGAAGAGGAAGAGCGCCAGCGCGAGCGCGAAGTGAGGTACCGTCGGTCCCGCAGTTTAAGGGCGCACGGGGGATGTGGGGGTGTGAGCTTGCGGTTGGTGGAGGAGGGGGAGGAGGAGGAGGAGGAAGCTTGCGAGCAGTTTCGAGGAGCACTCCCTCTCGGGTGCGGCTTTTTAGGGACAGTTCTGCAGGCGGCCC